TAAGATTGAACCTATTGTGATTTTTTATTGAAAGCATCTATTAATAAGTCTTATTAATATGGGTCGAGGAAGGTAAGTGTAATTATGAAGCCGTATTCATGTCTGCATTTTTCAATATTTGATACCTTTCATCATGCAAATTGCATTAATAATGTTATTTATTAGAGACCGCAGTCGCGACAGACGTCGGAGTCGAAGCAGAAGCAGGAGTAGAAGTCGCAGTCGTAGTCCGCGTTATGGGTTAGGGTCCGGTGGCGGAGGCGCTGGTGCATACGGTGGCGGGCGTCGCAGCAATCCTGGCGCGAATCTACGCAAACCCAAATGGGACTTAAGCCGATTGAAGCCTTTTAAAAAAGATTTTTATGTTCCACACAAAGATGTTGAAAATAGGTCCGAGTCTGAGGTGGAATCTTGGAGAAGTGATAATGAGATCACGCTCAAAGGTCGTAATATTCCCAAACCTACGTTGACTTTTGATGAGGCTGGTTTTCCTGATTATGTTATGGATGAAATTGATAAAATGGGATTTAATAAACCGACCCCCATCCAAGCTCAAGGTTGGCCCATTGCCCTAAGTGGGCATGATATGGTTGGTATTGCTTCAACTGGATCTGGTAAAACACTGTCTTACATTTTGCCTGCCATTGTTCACATAAATAATCAACCAAAATCTAGTAGAGGTGATGGACCTATTGCATTGGTTTTAGCACCAACTAGAGAATTGGCTCAACAAATACAAGAAGTGTGTGATAAATTCGCAAACACTTCAAAAATACATAACACTTGTTTATTTGGTGGTGCTCCCAAAGGACCTCAAGCAAGAGATCTAGATGCCGGTGTGGAAATTGTAATTGCAACACCTGGGCGTCTTCTAGATTTCTTAGAAAGTGGAAGAACCAATTTGAAGAGGTGCACATATTTAGTCTTGGATGAGGCTGATAGAATGTTGGACATGGGTTTTGAACCACAGATCAGAAAAATCATAGAACAGATTAGACCAGATCGTCAAACCCTTATGTGGTCTGCTACATGGCCTAGAGAGGTTCAAAGCCTTGCTTCAGAATTTCTCAAAGATTATCTACAGATCAATGTAGGATCCTTGCAATTGGCAGCTAATCATAATATTTTGCAAATAATCGATGTCTGTATGGAATATGAAAAGGAAACTAAATTAAGTACTCTTTTAAAAGAAATTATGGCTGAAAAAGAAAATAAAACTATAATATTTATAGAAACTAAGCGTCGTGTTGATGATATTACAAGGAAAATGAAGAGAGATGGGTATGTTCAGAAAAAAATATATTTACCAGTGTATATATATACATATTGCAGTAAAAGTTGTGCTAAAACTCCATTTTTTTTTACAGATGGCCAGCTGTATGTATACATGGAGACAAATCTCAACATGAGCGTGATTGGGTATTGCAAGGTATGATGTCCACTAAAGGCTTGAATAATGTTATGTTGATTGTATAATTTTTATTATGAATAATACCAATATACAAGATAACATTTTTATTTTTAATAAAAGTACAAACAAGAGCTTAAAATATCAGTATATAAAATATATATCGAGAAGCGGTGTCGGACTGGACTTTAGACAAGTAAATAGTTGGTGAACATGTGTCTGCATGTGCAGGCCGTGGAGACTGCGGCTGGGCGGCGGAGGCGGCGGCAAGCGCGCGAACGTCGCCGCTAAGCCTCGCCTGCGGCCGCTCCCGCCTCTAGTCGAAGGGGCTATGCCCTATGCACTCTGACTTGTCACCGCGGCTAGTCTGAGCCGCTTCTCGCGTGTTCGGCGCGCTGGGGTACCGCCCCACGCCGCCCCTCGCCGCCGCGCCGTCGTCGGCGACGGTGCGCAGGCTGAGCGCCTGGCTGCCGGGCTCACCAGCGCCCGGCCCGGCCCGGCGCCTCTGTTCTCTCTCGCGCCGCCCCGGTCGGCACCTCGCTCTTACTTGTTTTTCCTTTTTATGAGCGTTAACAGCCATTATTATAAAGGAATCTGTATTTATTAGTAAGTTTTCGGAAATAACACACACAGCATATAAATGTGATAATTTGTATAATTTTAGGTTTATATATATTAATGTTTTATAGAATTTTATATTATGACTATTCTTATTCAAGAAAATGTTATATTATGAAATAAAATAACCTAATTTCGATAACACAAACATGAAATAAATTGTACAGACTATATTTAGCATGTACCATTTGATTTCAGTAATTCTTTTTGGAGAGCTGAAAAGCTTTTGCTTTGGTGACAATATTCTTCATGTTTTACTATTTTACAGATTTTCGCAGTGGAAAAGCTCCTATTCTTGTAGCAACAGATGTTGCTGCGAGAGGTTTAGGTAAGTTTTTTGTAAATATTTCATTATTGTATTCTTTCTGTATTTCTAACTATCAATTATATCATTTAAGTTTTTCATTTTGTGGCTTAACATAAAAACTGGTTCTTACAGATGTTGATGATGTGAAGTTTGTCATCAATTTTGATTATCCAAGCAATTCTGAAGATTATGTCCACCGCATTGGAAGAACAGGAAGAACAAATAAAACTGGGACCGCCTATACCTTTTTTACACCTTCAAATGCCGCCAAAGCAGGCGATCTCATATCAGTACTAAAAGAAGCTAAACAAGTTGTTAATCCCAAGTTACAAGAACTTGCTGAGCGCGGAGGTGGTGGAGGCCGGCGTAAGTTTTGATCACCAAAGTCAATAATTAAACAATTTTGATTTTATATAATCTTTATGTCTTACAAAAAAAGAGACATGTAGTTTTCATTTCAATTATTATTAATATTTTCTGGCACCCCATTGTTCCTTTAGCTAGTTTTAAAATAAATTTCCTTGTTAAGGTCATCGTGGCCGAGGTGGAAGATACCGTCGAGGAGGCCGTCGCTCTCGATCGAGATCTCGTTCCCGCCGCCGCCGCACTCGTTCGCGCTCACGCTCCCGGGATCGCCGCCGCCGCCGACATAGCTCGTCACGCTCCTCACGAAGCAAATCCTCAAGATCGTCAAGAAGCCATTCGCGATCCCGTTCCCGCTCCCGGACACGTTCGCGTAGCCGCTCTCGTTCAGGCAAGTGCAGTCCATTGAAGGACGCTACTAACGCTGTACCGAAGCCTGTGACTCAAGCTCTGCTGCCCACGCCAAAGCCACTTTTACCCACTCCAATTGGTCCTCAGCTTCCTGTATCACAAAATGATAAATATAATGGCAAACATTCCACAAATTCAATGCATAATGACAATTTAAATACTAGAGGAAATAATAGATCTGTAAATGAGGATGTCACAAATGATGTCCAACAACAGCAATCTAGTCAAATTCCGCCGTTAATGGCTCTCAATCCTCAAATGTGTGTGCCTCCTCCCATGACTGGACAAGGATTTGTTATGCCCCAATACTTCCCTACTGATCAATATGGCATGATGATTCCACCTTTCGCTGCCCCTCCTATGATGACTTCCGCCAACTGGGCAGCTCCTCCCCCGCCACCACCACCCCCTCCTGCACCTAATACGTCAAACAACGTCAACAACTACAACCAAGGGCAAAGTGGCTATGGAGAAAGCAGCTTGGAGTCAGATTCCAGGAAGCGAGGTGGCCGTTCTGGCGGCCTTGGAAGCTCGAGCTCTTATGGGCCGAGCTCAGGTGGTCTCCGCTCAGGCGGCCTAGGCTCAGGCGGCGGCCTGGGCTCCGACGGGGGCCTGGGCTCCGGCGGAGGCCTGGGCTCTGGCCGCAGTCTGGGCCCCAGCGACGACCGCGGCTACGGTGGTGGCCTTGGTTCTGGCGGAGGTCTCGGGTCTGGTGGAGGCCTAGGCTCTGATGAAGCCACGTCAGCATCACGATCTCGTGGAGGCCGCGACAGACGTCGTCGCGGTCGAGGCCGTGACAACGAGGACTCGGAAGGTCCGAGTGGTGGCCTCGGTTCCTATGGATCCGGCGGCCTGGGTCAGGCCTCCTACGGAATGCCCTCTGGCGGTGCCGATGTGCCCCATGGGAGTCAACCGCCGCGCCTCCTTCCCCAGCCCGGCGACGACTACTTCACACAGGGAGCCAATTTTACAGCATATGGCTCTTACGGTTCTAAAAATAACAAAAGAATCCAAGGCGACGGTAATGACAATAGTGACACATATCAAAACGAAAGTAATTATAGCAATGGTATGGAGTTCTATGATCAACAAAATATGGGTCCTGGGCGACCATTCGGTTTAGGTACGAGCCAGAATGGTTCCAACGAGGCGCAGGTGAATGGCTCCATGGGGTACAATAATAACCGCCAGAGGAATCGCCAACGGCGGTGAAAACACCGAGGTTTGTTATACTGAAACCAATCCGAACTCACACTCTTACATATCACATATTTATCCAAAATCCACTGATAACATTAACTTGGGTGTAACTAAGTTTATTACTGTATGTCTCAATTGCTTATTTATTACCCTATGTCTGTTAATCTAACATAGCAAGCAAAGATATATTATTTTGACCAAAATCTTTTATTATTACAGAAAATGGCTACAATGGTGACTCGCGCCGACGTAGGAGACGCTGAAGCAACGTCGAAAAGAAAGTGGAGAACAAAAACTCTGTAGTGTTTAAGTTAATTGGACAACATAGAATTTCATTCCATGGATGTGTTTGTAGGCATTTGATATTGATGCGTTTAAAATTCTAACCACAAATATGATAACATTACACTAGAAAATATCTTGTATTGAAATATATTTTGCACATGTATGCATACTATTGAGTAAAGTTATTAAGTAATTTATTTACTTATTTCAATATATTCTGATTTAATAGTGATTACACATTTTATTTTAAGTTTGTATCATTAATCATCATGTACATTGTAAGTACATACATACATTAAAGTGACTATGAGCAATTTGGATTGTAAAGTTTATTACATTAAAATACTTTTTTAATTCCATTGATTTTATTACCTTTAAATTAATTTATACAAGAATCTCTGTGGCTTTTAGTCTAATGGTCTATGTCAATGGGTAAGTATCAGTAAAAAAGGATAAATATTTACAAAAGATATATGTGTAAGTTTGGAAAGGTGTTGTAAAAACACAAGATATATTCTTTGTATAGGTGAATGCTACGTGATTTTAGAAAGATTCAAATTAATCGGTTTCATTCGAGATAAAAATGTATAGCCACGTCTTTTATTAACCAAACATGTTTTTTAATATTTTTACTTCTATATTTTTTAACTGAAATGAAATGGTATGACAATGAAATAATAATGTAAACACAGTAAACAACCTTTATTTGACATTTCCATATAGTTGCTATGGCATTTTATGTTGCTTATTTTAGACATTCAATTTGTTGACTATCATGAGTTTTTCTGTAGATTTAGTATCAGAAGACTCATTTTATGAAAATATCACACTGGGTGTTACAAGAGTCCTTGGTTAGTATATTCTAATGTACATTATTAATAGGAGTTGGCTTTATGTTTAGGTAAAAACACAAAACCATCAGGTACTGGACCTAAAAACATTTCACTAATTTTTACCCAATCACTACAATTACTTGAAGCCATTAGAGTCTCTAAATCATCTCTGCCTATATATGTTGGTGGCCTTTCATTAATTTTTTGTGGTGGTCTTTCTAATAAACCTACTGGTACATATCTGTACAGGAATGATAACCATTCTAATAAAAATCTGCGCGTATTTTCAATCCCCTGTGTGTCAGAGCCCCAATGTTCAAGTCCATAGTTAGTAAATTTTTTAATGATTTCAAATCTTTCTTTACTACTGATATCCCAAATTTTTTGCTCCTTAATTTCTGTAAATATCCAAGGTTTAATAAGTGCACCGCGACCAATCATGACACCTTGTGTTGATGGTGCTACTTCTCTTTTTTGAATATAGTCCTCATAACTTAATATATCACCATTACCAAAGACAGGGTTTGGTGTTACAGCTTTTGCACAGGTTTCTATATACTCCCAGTCCGCTGATCTAGTATATCTAGCCTCTCGTGACCTACCATGCAAAGTTACAAGTGATACTCCCCATTCAAACATTTTAGGGATAATAGTATGGGCAATTTTTTTATCTTGGTACACTCCAGTTCTTATTTTGGCAGTGAAGGGTATATCTAATAGTTTTGAAGCAGATTTGATAGATGCCTCTAAACCAGGTAGTCTATGCATCATACCACAACCACCACCTTTCTTATAGATTAAATCTATAGGACATCCTAAATTTAGATCAATAAAATCAAGTTCTGTATTTTCTTGTAATAATTGTGCAACCTTGGTGATGATGTATGCATTGGTTCCACAAATTTGAGCACCAAATAGGTCCTCACATTCATGCCTTTTCACTAAGGCCCATTCCTGTTTTAAACCTTTTAATAATGGTTCACAGAGGGCCATTTCTCCACATGTAATATCAACACCAAAATCTTTACATATTCTTCTAAAAGGAAGATTTCCCACTGTTGTGAGAGGGCTAAGATACAACTTATCGCGCCAATCTATTTTCTTTTTCTCACGGAAATTTAGTTTTATTAAATCTTCATTGGTTATTGTGCCACTGTTGTCATGTTTGTTATCATTTGTAGGGTCGATTTTTTGTGTATTTTTAATAAAACTTTTAACAATATTTTCAGCTAGACTAAAATCATATTTTTTCTTTTGCAACTGTATCTGAATTGAATTTTGCAGTGTGTTTTTGGTATCATCCTTCCATTCTTTAATTTTACTGTTATCAGTTATATTAAAGCCTTCAGGCGTGATGTGACATGAGCCAAAGCGGCATGCTATTCCTCTCGGACACCTCCCTCGAATATCAAATAATCGACATTTTTCTCCTATATCTGGAGGCTTAACTTTTAAATAGTCTAAAGCGTTGTGAATGTATTTGCAGTTGGTAAATTGACATTTTTTTTCTTCGTCGCTTGTACTTACGTCTAATATTCTAGGGCAAGGTTTATTTTGTATTTCATCTTTGAATGTCTTAGGTCTTGCTTTATTCTGACCTCTCTTTTTATTTTTGTAGGGCGGTTCTTCATGTTTAATTTTTTCTTCTTTGTAACCGTTTTCGCTATCTAACTTTCTTTTTAAGGATGTTTCAGATTCTTGAACATTGTTGCATTTATCGGGTCTTTGAATTATGAATTCTGCCTTAATAGCACAAACACCTGGAGCAACATTTGTCATCTTTTCACCATTATAGACAAAAGATTCGTATAGAAATGGATAATCTTTGTTATCTATACTCAAATTTGAGAAACTTAGGTTAAGAAAACATGTGTTGATAAATTGAGAAAACAACGTTTTGACACATTCTTATCATTCTTTGACAGTTACTGCTGGTGTTGGCATTCTATTTCCCTGCTTATTGAGTGTTGCTTTTTTCATAAATTAGCAAAAAAGGAACTCCAATTTTAATGCATGTTTTATTAACTTATTGCTAGGTTGTGCTAATTCTTATTAGATTCAGCAAACTTTACATTCATAAATTATTTTTTGCTTTTAGAGTCAGATCCCCGTATATCAAACGTTGTAGTAGAGCGACGACCGCCCTGTGATCGCATAGCTATTTCCAACTGGGAGCAAAGGCATTCAACTATTTTACCGGATGATTTACGCAATTTTTATGCTTCTAGTGACGGATTTTTATTGACATGGAATTTTAAATATTCGGGCAAGTATAGCGTGAAGCCTTCTGGGTTTTCACTATCCTAGTATGTATAGACCGAGGATGAGAAAGTCTTTCCACGAGAGCTAACAGAGACTAGCCACGCGCGACTCCACTTCTACGAACAATGTTATTTTATATCAATACGCCATTTCCACTTCGTCGTTACTGCTAATAGAAAGCTTATAGAAACCATTCGTCGAAACGTGGACATCACATTGGACCTTATCCTACATTTAAAATTATGAATATGCAAGTTACGATTTGCAGTGCCATGATAACACTGCAAGTAATATAGAAATGTAGTCCATTTGTCTTGAATTTCTTAAATATATTGAGGATTCTTTTGTTGAATCATGTTTTTTACTGTATTGCGTTTTTAACAGCTGATGAAGTTTTGCAAGTTGGGGCTATAAGAGTCAATTCATTAAGCGAACTATGTTTGTCCGCCGGCTTGAAAGATCTTTTGGACTTCTCGATGACCCGGAATAGTTCTGGGCCACGACCAGTACTTAATCCAAAAAGCAAGGTCTTTGAACTAGATACCTGTAGGAATATCGGAAAGGTTAGCGTTTCTTTCATATTATGAATCTAAAATATTTCTCAAATCGTGTTACCTTTAGTCTTATAGCTGAGTACTATTAAGTTAAGTATATTTTTTTTTCCGCACGTAGTAATATAACGCGCGTAGTAATATAGCGCCGCATAATAAAATCTTAAATCTATATAGGTTCATCTATATTGCTTTACAGGTTTGCCTTATTTGTACAAACGGTTCCTGGTCTATTTGGTTGGCTACTCGCGAAGGAGCCTGGGGCTGGCTGGCGGACTCCTTTACATATTACTTCAGGATGTCCTTAGTGCACCTCGGCCTGCCGGGCTGGCAAGCCGCTTTCACGAATTTGCCACTTATTCCTTGGGCGGAGGTAAAAAAGCAAACCGTCATCAAAACCAGATTTCTCTACTTGAAATTATATTTAACGGACTATCCGTTTTTTATTTTAGCAACTTTTTTTATTATTGGCGCCTCACCTACTGGAGAAAGAGTCTGACAGTACAAATGCCAATGGGTCTGAAACTGGACTAAACCATATAGATCCCAATATATTCAAGAATTCTGTTCGCCATTACAAGACAAATCGTCAACCTAATAATCAATGACCATGTTCTACTGTTATGGTTTAATTGAAGGATAAGAAACACGTCGAGAGATGTGAAAATACTGAATTAAATTCTTGTGCAGAAGCAAATAAACTTTTATTTATAAAACCGGAAAGCGGAAATTAATTAAAAAAAGCGATGAAAGGTTCGAAAATAAAAATAAAACATTGACGTTGCTTAATGCATATATTGAAATAATCGTACAATAGACTTTTTAGCTTAACAAACGAAACAAAATGGACGGAATGTGAGATACTTTGCTAAATACAAGCTAAAATTTCGCAAATAAAACTACATATATTTAATACACACAACTCATACAACTATTTATATTCATACCTCCAACATATAACTAAGATCAAAACATTTTGTTGTGGCATTTTCAGGCTTATAAAATAATGCTGCCATTACTTTAAAAAAAATAATTGCTATATATTGAAAAACAATATTATAATGTAAATATGTAATTGAATATTTAATAAAGTAAATTAATGTATAATATACGAATATATTTGACTATAAATATAAAAATACATGTGATTGCGTTGCTTCGTGCGCTTTATTATAAATTTTATTAAACCAGCACTAACACTTCACTAAATGTACGTGACTTGCACAACGACTTTCGTTTAGAAAATCTTAACACGTAAATTATATTGTTTCATAACTCATATTAAAAATATTATAAGACACTTGATATTTGTGTTTTGTTTGTAACTAAACATTTTATTTAGTGAAAACGGATCTTCGATTATTTTTACTTAGAAGTGCTCGCTTAATTAATTGTTTAAATGCATGCTTTTCTTAAGCTAGATTAAGTTTAAAAAGTATTACACGCTAATTATTTAGGCCTGTGTACCTTAAATTTTAATTAGCATAATTGTAATGACACAAAAATCTTACAGCTAAGTTTTTTTATATTTTTTTTTTGGTGGGATGTTAAATTTTGAACATGTTAATGTTGAATACATTCAAAACCATTTAATAAGCAATGTTATAATAATTTTATGGTTTGAAAAAGGCAAAGCCAGTGGTAACAGTTTTGTAAACAATACAAATCATAATATCAATGGAATGATTTACAATATTGCTCAGTACTACAATGGCTTGGTACAAAACCATCTTATATTATTTTACAATGTCTACATGTCTGCATATAGCATTGCCAGGCGTATGGATAAAGCCGGACATAGGTAGGATTTTTGATTGCTGAGCGCAGGCGAAGAGAATCGACTGACGGTCGCATGTAGGGTGTTCGGCTTTTCTACCCAAATATCCGCCAAACTGGTTGGTCTGTCCGGCTATTAGGTTTGACGACATCTGCATTAAAGTCTTGCATTAAGTAATAAAATTCAATGCAACCATGGTATAAAAAGATACAATATATAATTTAATTCTATATCTAAAGCTGTGATAAATTTGTGATGACCGTATCTTAAATTCGATTGAAAAAATATCCTTACCAAAAATATCATTGTTCCTTATTAATAACTATTGCTTTTGTTATAATTATTCTTATACATTATTATTTATTGTAATCACTTCCACTGCCCAAGCATCTGTACAAAAAATATATTTTTGTCTATGGTCTTTCAAAGAGATTGACATCTAATCTGGAGCACAAAAGTAAGAACAAAAACTCCTAAGGCATTTTGTTGAGGAAAACTTCGTTAGTTTTGTGAATTACGATTCAATATGATATTTAGAATATCGACTCTCGATTAGACGTCAAAGTTGACGACACACTTCATATATAGATATGAATGACGGTATGTTTTTATACAAGTGTTTAAGCAGCAGAAACTCATGGTAATAAAAAACATTTAATTTTGAAACAACTTAAAAATGATTGATAAATTCGGAAAAACTCAAGATCCTGAATTACATTTACTTTCGATTTTGATTAACACTGTAACTGTTTTAAACTTTTATTAAAAAAGACTCAGAAGTATTTTGTTTAAGTATAATTAATTGGTACGAATTAGTTAAAAAGTTAAATTTTTTACTTAATGTATTTTTTTAATTTTGTAAGCTATAAGGCTGCTATTAGGTCCAACGTGCGAATTTAGCTGGGAAGACCATGGTTGCTTAAAATAGATTCTAATAATGCTTAAAAATTCTAATAAATCCAGCTGACAGGCACCCATTGGTGGTCCGTGGACAGCGAGTGTAGGGCGTCCTTTATTTTAGAGTATGTGGTGTCATTATTGTTGTTGATTATCACAAGATCTATGTACTTCTCGTAAGTTCGCTGGATGCGAGCACTCTCCTCTAACGTTTGCTTCATATCTTCCTCCTGCATTACAAATATATGTGAATCCAAAGATTAAAAAATCTATCTGTCAAGTGATAAAAATAGTTCATCATAAAAACGTGAAATTGTTTTGTCATTATATGATTTTTACACAAATCTATGCGTACAAATAGTTTTGGATGGCGTTAAAATTCGGCATAGATGTAGAGCATAATCTGGAAGAACACATAGACTACTAAGTTTTTTCTTATAACGCGCGAACGGAGTCGCGGGTGAGAGCTAGTATGTGTGGACTTACCTCGTATAGTGAGGCGAGGGACTCGAGCGTGCGCGCGCGCCGCGAGCTGTAGCGTATCGAGCTCTGCCTGTCGAACTACAGCGGACATGCACATACATACATCAACATGCACATACTATATCTTCAAGATACAATATAAACTAATATCATATCTACGAAAATTGTTTCTAATACAAAACTTTATGGGCTAAGAGTAAAGGGGGATAATACTACTATGATAAACAATGACAACATTTTATAACCTGCATTACTTAGGTAGCCGCTGCAGGATTTCATCAGAAAAACTTGAAACTATACTAACGACTAGTTAAAAATAATAAAAAAATCTACAACTACGCGCATGTTTATGCATATACATAACATACTGATCTCTATAAATGGACAGGCTAGAAAGGGTGGTACTTTGTGCCTATTTGATTTTCGCCATTTTACCACTGATGGTAGCAATTTGTAGCGGAGGCGTGGATTCCAACAAACAATATATATAAGTTTACCTGTCATGTAACATTAACAGGCGCGTTTAAATCGGCACAAAATAAATCCTGTCATTTGCAAGTAATCGCCTATCCATTTAAGAGATTAGTGACATATCGACATACGTATAAATAGAAAAATAACATATTCGTATGTATGTATGTATAACAAATACGCATGTGTCCTATCTAGTATACACTTTTAAAATGACATCTAAAAGTGTTATGTAGCTATGCTTACCGTGAGGTTTCTATTGGAGGCGTATGTAAGGTTACGTAGCTGGTCGATGCCGGGTGCGCCCACCAGCACCACATACGGCAGGAATTCACTGCTGTTGTGCAGCAGCTTTAACGACTGCGGCGCGCAATCCAACACGCACATCTTACCTACAAGTTGTATGAGGCTTTAAAATTCAACCAGCTAAAATTAACTGTACGAAAAACTAGGAGACCAAATGAAAAACTATGTAACCAAGAGAAAGATTGCAAGAAATGTACACGGGAGTTAACTTAGTGTGTCCACAATTGATCGGATTGTATTATGTTGGAATTTGGAATAGAATATTTACAAACCTACCCTCTTTAATAACAGCTCTGATGGAGTCAAGATGTGTTCCATAAAGATGTCCATTGTGCTCGCCGTACTCCAAGAAGCGGCCGGCGTGCGCGTCCCGCTCCATCTCCTCGCGAGACACGAACCAGTACGACAGACCGTTCTCTTCTAGAGGTCGCGGTGGACGAGACGTATCTGGATGTAGATAAATAAACAACTATTAAATTCATATAACAAGCAGAAGTTAATTTTCAAAATAACAATGTAAAAAAAGGAATGAACTAAAAATCTAACCCAGGCTTACAGAAAAGACTATAAGAAAGAATGCGAATTGAATATTTTCACACTTTATAATGGGTCGATTTTTTTTTATAACAGAAGGGAGCAAACGAGCAGCGGGAACAACAAAGTTTTCAACGAAGCCTATGGACATCAGCAATACCAGAGGAACCGCAGATGCGTTGCCGGCCTTTGAGGTGGTGATAAGCTCGCTTCTTGAAGTACCCTAAGTCGTAGCGGTTTGGAAATACCGCCAAGGAATATTCGATGTGATAAGTTAGAGGATATCACAATATAATGTACATACATACAAGAGTGTTCATTTAATTCAAGAAGTAGGCTTCATTCACATAGTTAGGTTAAGGGTATAAACTATCAAAAGCTTTGCTATGGGATAAACTCAGCCGTTTAACTATTGGCTATATAAAACAAATAGTTTGTAGGACTTTCTCGTTCGGCTTATATGTTTAGAGATATTTTAAATATTGTAAGTATACATACGCGGCACGACAGCACCGAATCTGTCGGGGTGTTCCTGTATCATGCGGTTCTTGAGAGTACGGCGACCCACGCCCTTGGTGCCGACGAGCGCCAGCACGCGCCGCAGGAAGGGCGGCGTGCGCGCCACCTCCTCGTACAGCGCCAGCTCCGCGCCCTCCAGCTGCACGCTCGACCGGGACTCGTACACGAATTTCTTTTTTTTCTTTGATATCTGTCAAGTATGTACGTGGTTTGTATAATGTATCATCATCAGCTCATTATATGTCCCCACCGAGGGGCTCGGAGCCTACCCTAAGTTAAGGGTGATTAGGCCATAGTCAACCACGCTGGCCCAGTGTGGGTTGGCAATGTATACAAAAATATATATATTTTAATATTTATAAAAAGTAACGACACTAAGATTGTTATTTATACAATTTAATGTGTTTCAAAATTTAATATTTTTTTAATCTAACATAGAGTAACATTAGCAGTTACAATATTTAACTTAGTCAAATTACTTTTTTTTTAGAATTTTGGTAGTTTTAATTATTTTAATTTATTACAAAGCAAAACAAACATAATTAAAATGAATTACCCGCGCACCACAGATGCTTATTTTGTGTACAAAGTCTGCTTCAGGTGGAACATACGCTTTCCGTCTCTCTTCTAACTCAGGCGAAGGTATGAGACCCACTACATCTGTGTTTTCAACATGACTTGCTTGCCACCAATTTGGGTCTTTTCTATCTGAAACCTTGACACATTGAAGTTTTAAAATAAAGATTAATAGAAATTGACACTCTAATGTTTATTTTATAATAATAATAATTTAATATAATCCAATAACAAATATTTACCTGCAAAATATCTCCTTTGTTGAATGGCAATCCAATTTCCTTACACGGAAGTAATGTGTCTTCTTTTGGATCATAATCAAAGAGAGCTCTCATATAACACTGAAAATAAACAGATATTTTTTTTGTCTAGTATAGTTGAACCAGGATAATCTAGGAACCTCTATAACCGAGACATTGTCCAGTCCCAATGAATGACCACCATCAACATGAAACTCGGGTTAGAGAAAAACCTCTACAAAAATGTAGCTTTTCCTTGGACTTGTCAAGATTCAACTAAAAATTAAATTTTACTAAGTAGTGACACAGGTACAAAAAAAATAAAAAGTGAATTAATATCTGAAGAGCCTCCTAGAATAAATGATAGAAAATAGTAAACACACTTACACTAAGTTTATTTGACAACTGTCCACTCTTCTCCTTCAGATTTGGTCCCACTTTTAAGGTGACTCTATCATTGGGCTTAGACACTGCTTCTTTTAGCTGATCCTCAGAGTCAATATGTACACCGTCAACTTCCAACAGCACATCTCCTACAGAAAGAAGTGCTTGTTTAGCTGCAGCACTGCCCGCTAATATTCTAGCTACTATAAGCTGCCCATGTTCATCAGTGGTGACCTGAAATAATGAAGGGTTTTTAATACAACTACATTCAAATAACTTTGTCTCTACTAGTCAACAATTACTTATTAAAAAAAATATAATTAGTAGCCTTTGTGTTCTCCCAGACTGTTTTATATGTATGCCAAATAACAATGATATCCATTCAGCAGTTCTAGAGATACCTTCAAACTAACATCCATCTAAACATTCAAATTTATAATATTAGTAACATAGTAAGAATTAAGATAGCAAAGACATGTCAAAATACGGCTTATTCTTAAATTGTGAAACCATATGCAAGTCTTTTATAGCAATTGGTTCTCCCAGTTAAATTGCTCATCAATTACCTAATTGTTCATTCAATTGAGACAATAATGGTAAAGTGGCAATGGCTTTCTTAATAAATTAGTATGCCAATTTAAATACTGGTGAGATATACAGATGGTGCTTGATATATTTTGTTACTATTACATTAGAACCTATATTAAACCCATTTTACTTTTTATTCATTTAATAA